CACATCCATTATTTGCATACTTTCTGAAAGAAGCTTTTATTACCACTGATATTTTGTGGACATCCTCTAAAATGGCCGAATATTCAAGCAAGTTCTCATCACCTTTTCCAGTGGAAGGTGTTCTTGATTAGTGCTTATTTTCTAGTCTATTAAAATCACATAACAGTTTGCCCTTAAATAAATTTTTTCAGGCTTATTAGACTATCCCAGAAGAGGTACAGAGGAGATATTTTACCAGTGAAGCTACAAGTATGTAATTGTGACTTTTTTTCCCTTTTACATTAGCTTACTATGGTAGCTCAGAAAATATACTACAGTCACACAATATTCTGGGGTGCTCATAGTAGAATAAATGATAATGATTTATCATTTTATCATATATACTATATGGTAGTTTGAAAACTCCTTTGGAGGGTAGGAAAATGTAGGCACAGGTGCTTGGTCCTGCAAATAATCCTACAAAGAACTTTCAGTACAGTGTTCTGATGCTAAGGTCAGCGAGTTCAGCATCCTAACTCAACTAATAGGGCTGCAGCTCCTATTCTGAATTCCTCACAATGGTTGTGGTTCTACAATCATTCTTGCTGGTTTGGAGGGAAAATAAATAAATAAATAAGACTGTTGAAAAACACTTTCTTTTTTTTTTTTTAAACAGGAAAATGAATCAGGTCCTCCCTAGACAGCTAGGTTTTAGCAGGTGGGCCACTCCAGCTGTAAAGGGTTAGTCCCCGAGGAGTTCTTGTGACAGAGCACTTGAACTTACCTGCCCAAGCAGAACAGCTCATGGAGCAGAGGTTTGGAAAACAGCCAGGTGAATTAGATTCAGCAAGAGTACCAACTGCTTCCAAGGATGAAAAGAGCAGCCCCTGGGAGAGAAAAAAACAACGCTTCCTTCAGACAGCTGCAGGAACAAAACCACAGTAGCAATGGGGAGGTGAGGCGGGTCACAGCTTTTCTGTACCACATTCCCTGAACCTAAGAAGCACTGTGAGTGAAAGCCTCCCCGGTTTCTTGTAAATAACATAAACTTTTTACAGAGGTCATGAACTTGTTTGCAGCTACACCCTAGTTGTTCTGGGACCTTCCCATGCTGCTGAGTGTGGGAATCCCAGGCACAGCCAAAGGAAAACAGCTGGGTGCAATTGCTGACTAGCAGGTGCAGAGGAGTGCTCAAAACAGGCTGAAAGCTAATGTTTCAGGTGAGTTGAAAAGTGAGGGAGCAAAGTACTTACTGCATTCAGCCTTCCTTTTTAAGATTTGACACGCTCATTTATTTATGGGAGGTTTTATTATGTTGTTGATTTTTTTAAAGGAGCTGGCCATAGCATGGTGGAGGGTAAGTTTGGCATATTTTTTTGAGAGAAAACAGATATGCTCTCATCACTGTGAGGACACCAGATGTGCTGTTACAAGTTTAATCTCATTTTAACACTGCGCTGCAAGCTCTCTGTGGAACGGTCTATGTCTTACTATGAATTTCATGAGACTTCATGCAGCTGTGCCCTGGTTGAAACACATCCCCACTGCCACTGTGGTAGAATAATAATGAAGAATCATCGCACTCTTTCTAGAGACATAAAAGCGCTGATTACTGTAGGCTCTGTGGCTGTTATGCTGGTGTGAAGTCCATGTCTTCAATAAGCAAGATGGTCTGTTTAAATGAACCTAAACTCAGGCCAATTATTTTGAAGATTTCTCAAATAGAAGTAGAGAGTATATTTTGCAGGATTTCAGTTCTAGTCAGTCTCAATAGGAGAAAAAAGGTGTTGTCTGTAGTATCACTATGTTTAGTGAGAACAGGTACTCTAAGGTAACGCTTCAAGCACTGACCCTCCACATAAACTGGCAGACCCATAAGTGCATGTTCTTCCAGGTATTTCTTGTGGAAGAGCTTATAAACAAAGTACGTGCTTGAGTGCTCAACTGATAAAGGACCTACATCAATAAATTGAAACAAATTGACAGACAGAAGTGAACGCCCAATGATGAGGGCCTGGCACTACAGGGAGTTCAAATCCTTTCTAGGGGGAAAACAACTTGTAAGATATCCAGATACAAGAACAAGCTTTATCAAGATTTAAATTTTCCTTCCTAGGACAAGGCATAAAGGTACAAACTGTTCATCAACTGTGTGATAATACTTGTCTAAAATTAACTGAGAAAGTTGATCTGATTTTATTTCTTGAAAGCATTATCAGGATTTGGCTCAGACCAAAGTTCGTTAAAGTACCCTCAGCTCTCAGTGATTTGACTGGCCTCAGTAAGACAGATTTTCTTATGTATTACCATAGAATGTAGAATCATAGAATCATTTGGTTTGGAAGAGACCTTAAAGATCACCTAGTTCCAATCCCTCAGCCTTCATGTTGCTTTGACTACATTGCTCAAAACTCCATCCAACCTTGCCTTGAACACCTACAGGTATGAGGCAGCAACAGTTTCTCTGGGCAGCCTGTGCCAGCACCTCACCACCCTGACAATGAAGAATTTCTTGTTTACATCCAGTCTACATCTACCTTCTTTCATTTTAAAGCCATTGCCCCTCAGCTTACCATTACACTCCCTGATAGGGTCCTTCTCCAGCTTTCCTTTAGGCCCCCTTAGGTACTGAAAGGGTGCTATATGGTCTCCCTGGAGCCTTCTATTTTCTGGTCTGAACAACTTCAGCTCTCTCAGTCTCACTTCACAAGAAAGGTGCTTCAGTTCTCTGACCATCCTCCTCTGGTCCCACTCCAGCAGGTCCAAGCCCTTTTTGTACTGGGGACCCAAGAGAGAGATGCAGATGAAGTCCCCAGGGGAAAAGTAGAGGAAGAGAACCTCTTCCCTTCACCTGCTGGCCATGCTTCTTTCTATGCAGCCCAGGTTATGGTTGGCTTTCTGGGCTGTAAATGCCCTCCTCAAGCCTCTCAAGGTCCCTATGGATGGCATCCCTTCCCTCCAGTGTGCCAACTTTGTCACACAGCTTGGTGTCATCCGCAAACATGCTAGAGTGTGTTCAATCACACTGTTCATGTTGCCAACAAGAATTTTAAACAGTGCTGGTTCTAACCAACTCCTGAGGCATGTTATTAATCATTGGTCTTCACCTGGACAGTGAACACAACACTTTGAGCACAACCATTCATCCAATTCTTTATCCACTGAGTGGTCCATCCATCAAATTCATGTCTCTCCAATTTAGAGACAAGAATGTCATGTGGGACAGTGTCAAACACTTTGCATGTTTCCGGGTAAATGACCTCAGTTGCTCTCATCCACTAGTGTTGTAACCCCATTGCAGAAGGCCACCAAATTTTTCAGGCACAGTTTAGCCTTACTGATGCATGGTGTCTGTCACCTCCTCATTTTCCATGTGTCTTAATAGAGTTTCCAGGTTCTGCTCTATAATCCTAACGGGCATAGAGGAGAGACTGACTTGTCTGCACTTCTCCAGGGCCTTCCTTTTTTCCCCTTCTTCAGAATTGCAGTTGGTGGCAACTTCACTGAACTGCCACAGCTTCTAAAAATATGATGGATAGTGGCTAAAAGATCATAGAGTGCTAAAAGATCATAAAGTGTTCCAGAATTACTATAATAACATTTTGGATATGTGGCTTAAAGCAAGTATGGGACTGGTAAGGCTGCACCTCAAGTACTGAGCTCAGTTTGAGGGCCCTCGCTACAAAACAGACATCGAGGCCCTGGAATGTGTCCAGAGAAGTGTAACGAAGCTGTGAAGGGTCTGGAGCCCAAGCATGATAGGGAAAAGCAAAGGGAACTGGAGTTGCTCAGTCTGGAGAAAAGGAGGCTCAGGAGAGACCTCACTGCTCTCTACAGCCACCTGAATAGAGGCTCTGGAGAGATAGGGGTCAGCTTCTTCTCTGAGGTAACAGCGACAGGGCAAGAGGTGATGGACTCAAGCTGTAATAGGAAACGTTCAGGTTGGGTATTAGGAACAATTTCTTCTCAGCAAGAGCGGTGATGCAGTGGCACAGGCTGCCCAGGAAGGTGGTGGAGTCACCGTCCCTGGAGGTGTTCAGAGCCGTGTGGATGTGGCACTGAGGGACGTGGGCCCCCCCCCCCCCCCCCCCCCCCCCCCCCCCCGGCTGATGGTTGGACTGGGTGAACTTAGTGGTCTTTTCCAACCTTAATTATTCTGTGACTCTATCCAACCTGGTCTTGAGCACCTCCAGGGATGGGGCACCACAGCTTCTCTGGACAGCTGCTCCAGCACCTCATTGTCCTCTCAGTGAAAAAATTTCCCTCTGACATCTAAATTAAATCTCCCCATAGCTAATAAGCTGCAGAGAGCTGAAGGAGCTCCATTCCAGCATCCAGAATAAAGCATAATGATGACACTGACTTACTTCTGATGGGATGCTAGACAATCTCTCTTATTCAGACCGCATTTCCTGAAGGGCGCTGGTCTAATTCCCTGTTTCTGACATCGCTAAAGCGGGCGCTAATTTTCCAATCTGTAGCAACAGCAACATCTAGCGTCTGGAGCCTGCCCTGCATGCTTGCAGCACGCTTGCCGTTGGCGCAACGCAGTTCGTCCAGCAGTTCTGCAGCACGCGGGACCCGAGCGAGCAGCTCAAGGTCGAGCAGAGGACTCTGGCACAGGTGGAGCTGAGGGCTGAGCGCCCGCCTGCCCCGCGCTCCACCTGGAGGGCCGTCTCTCTGTGCCCTAGCAGACGCTCAGCCCCTTTATCGGAGGGGGAGACAACAACTCGTTGTATTTCAGGGGTGGTTTCACCCTGTTAGAGGACAGAAATATCCTCGAGGGGCGTGCAGCCAACATCTCCTTTTGGAGAATGTATACGAAACGGCTGAGGGCCGGGACGCGCTGTTATACCGACTGCAAGAGGCGGGAAAGCGTTCTGGGGCCTAACGGGCCTATTGCGGCTCCTCTCCTCTGCGGAAAGCCCCGCCCACGCCGGAGAACTACGCGTCCCAGCATGCCCCGCATGGCGGAGGGGGTGGGGCCTACAGCTGCGCCTGCGCACTGCCTCCCGCCGGGCCCGGGCGCAGCGGTGACCTCGAGCGGTGGTGGGAGAAAATGGCGGCGGCGGGGTTCGCCCTGAAGGTGAAGTGGGGCTGGGGGGAGAGGGGACACGGCGCGTTGCGGCTGGCCGTCACTTCCTTTCCGACGGGGTTGGACAGCCGCTCTGTGTCCCGCAGGTGCGGCAGCTGAGCACGTCGGCGGCTCGGCCGGTCTCCAAACTGGTGAAGGTGAGCGGGGCCGGGGGGTTTGGGTTTGGGGCCGGCTTCCCGCTCAGGGCCGCGCTCAGGCTCCGTCTGTCCCGCAGCCGCCCATCCAGGTGTACGGGCTGGAGGGCCGCTATGCCACCGCGCTGTATTCCGCCGCCACAAAGCAGAAGAAGCTGGAGCAGGTGGAGAAGGAGCTGAGCCGTGTGTCGGTAAGCTTCCTGGGCGCGTCTCTGGCCTGAGGTCACCCAGGGGCTGCTGTTAGGACTCTCTTGCGTGCTGTGAGACGTGTCAGGCCTGCCTGCCTGTGCTCTGCACTCTGCCCCTAGTGCCCCTCCGGGGTGTGGTGAGTTGCTTGAAGGAGCAGCAGCTCTAAAAGGAGCATCCTCTCTATGAGTTCCATCTGGAGCTGCCATTTCACTTCCCATCTGCTCTCCTCTGTCCTCTATCCTTGCTCGATGGATGACTTTTTTTTTGCCTGCATGGGAAACTCGTGACCTTTACAGTGTTACTTGTGTGTTCTGTTAGACTCTTTTGAAGGACCCCAAGCTGTCCAGCATTATTATGAACCCTCACACCAAGGGCACAGTTAAACAAAAAGCTGTAAATGACGTTTTAGCTAAAGAGAAGATGTCCCCTGTTACCACCAACCTGATGAGTGAGTAATCATTTACATTTTGAAAAGCATCTGATACTGCTTGTGATTAGTTGTTGCTAACCAAATTTGCTTCTAGGGGGTGTGCTAAACCCTTCTGATACATCTGCATCTTCCAGACCTGCTTGCTGAAAATGGTCGCTTGCGCTACACTCCGGGCATTGTTTCTGCTTTTGGGAAGATCATGAGTGCATTCCGAGGAGAAGTGCTGTGCACAGTCACCACTGCACAGGTGGGTTAGGAACATCAGGGTTGAGTTTAATAGGAACGGGCATGAAAGACAAACTTCTTTAGCTATAGTGTAAGCAGCTTGCTGCATGAGGAATGAAGAAAAATCTCACCTCTACAAAACACTCCAATAGTGTTTCAATATACAGAAATTATTGGTTAGCAATTATACGTGTTCTTCTTGTTTCAGCTTGACAGGTAACATCTTTTTCTATGTGTGAACCCAGGGGCTGATGAAAGTCAACTGGGTCTGTAGATAAAGCTGCCTCTGCTTTTATTTTTGTCATTAAGATCATACTGATCAAGTTAGAGCTAACAGACCAGCTCTTAGCTGTAGTGAGGCAGATCGCTGAGGTGAAATCAAAGATAACATCTCTGTATGCTCGATACTATCTGTAGGTAGATAGTAACAGCACAAGGGGGAATGGCTTTAAACTAAAAGAGGAGAGATTTAGATTGGATGTCAGGAAGAAATTCTTTCCCCCAGAGGGCAGTGAGGTGTTGGCACAGCTGCCCAGAGAAGCTGTGGTGCCTCATCCCTGGAGGTGCTCAAGGCCAGGTTTGATGGGGCCCTGGGCAGCCTGAGCTGGTGGGGGGCAGCCCTGCCCATAGTAGGGGTTGGAACTCAATGGTCTTGAAGGTCCCTTAAAACTCAGACTGCGAAGCTGTAAACTTCAAGCTGGAGATGTGATTTCTGTCATTTCAGTAGTTTGTGTGGGGGTCGATCCATGCTCAGGCCTGGTAATGGGAAGCTTGCCTGCTGTACATGTAACATAAATGTGTAGCTTTTGTGCGCTAAAATGAGCTTCCAGTGTGGACTGAATAAAAAACCTCATCCATTTGGGCTTGACAGGCTCTTTATAGGCCACAGGCACAGACTGTAACTGATAGCTTTCAGGGACATAGGGGTTCACAAATGCAAAACTTTTTTCTGAGTTTTCCCAAATAATTCATAAGGGTTGATATAATAATAATTCCTGATGCCTCTTTGATTGATAGCAGTTGGTTTCTTTTGACTCTCAACTGTTAACCATTAAATAGGAGTTGTTATTGCTAGTAACGCTGGCAGCAGTATTCTTCTGTGGAGTCTGTTTAATTTCTGTTGCAGTAATATCTGAACAACTCACAGGGAAAGCGAGGGCAGGCTCATGGTGCCTCCCCCCCTCAGGGATGCAGAGTTCCTCTATGGTGATAGAGAGAGGTGTACTTGGCTGAGCCCACACAGCTGTGTTGGCAGCATCTTGAGTCCCTGTCTCATGCTTCACATGGAACTGTTTTTTTCTTAAGCTTATAAACTGAACTGTGAGAAGCAACAAATTACTCTCTCCTCATATAGACTAAATGCTGCTTTGAAATGGATATGAGGGTCTTGTGTCGAGTGCTTAGTTTAGCAAGTCAGGATTCTTGATGCTTGCTTTCCAAAAATATAAACAACAAGCATTTGCTGGGAATATGTGTGCAGGCAGCACAATACTTCATGAAATTAAAGGAGCACCAAATGCTGCTGTTTCTGTGCTGTCATTCGATTACTGTTATCCAAAAAGGCTGCTTCCTCTGCCTTCCTGGGAGTGTCTTTCTTTTAATGGAGTCTGAAGAGAAAATGAAGTGTTCTCATTATACCCTTTGAATTTTTTACATCCTTCATTTTCATTGTGTTCTGTGCAAATTTTTTCAGCCCTTGGATGATGCCAGCCTTACTGAGCTAAAGAGTGTTCTGAATGGATTCTTGGCTAAAGGAGAGATCTTGAAGCTGGAGACCAAGGTAGGGGTTTTATTTGTAAATACACTTAATGCCAAGCTGTGCTTCTTGTGCTGTCTCTCATCTTTACAAAAAAAATAAATGAAAGAGGAACTATAGGACACTAGTGTATATTCATTTGGTTGAATTCAGTAGCTATATAATATACTTCAGTGTTTTCTTGTACACCTGATGCTTCAATTACTGAAATCTTAACACTGAAATATAATGGCTGCAAAATTATCTTAAATAAAGGTCTTTTAAATGTTTACACTTTAAAAAAAGAAAATATATATATATATTAGGGTAAGAAGTTTTTGCTAATGGAGTTTCTGTTAAACCTTTCTTCTAGACTGATCCCTCCATCCTTGGTGGGATGATCGTCAATATTGGGGAGAAATACGTGGATATGTCGACAAGGTCAAAGATCCAGAAACTGACCAAAATAATGAAAGAGACTGTCTAGTAAGCTGTCCTCTTTGTTCACAGTGAAACCTGTCACATGGAAACAATAAAATCATTCTTCTTGAATAGCTGTTTTAGAGTATTGATTCTAATGTACAGCTGTGGGAGAAAGATGATGAGGCCTCCAAAAGCTTGCTAGTGAGAGGTTAAGGTGTTTGTATCTTAAAACTACTTATAAAAACGTTCAGCATAGAACACTGATTCACAGCTACCTCGTGTTACATTGGTGTTCTGATGACAAGGCTGTGTGTGCCTGCTTCTGTTTAATGGGATATTGAGGATATTGACCTCAGGGCAGCTGGCCAGATACAGTAATTATTAGCCAAAAGGAGGGGGCAGATCAGAGGGGGACCTTCTAGTCCTATTATCAAAAATACCAATCTGAACATTCATCTAATGTTTTTGAGACCATATCGCTCTTCCTCAGTGCTTCTCAAGAACATCACAATAGGCTGTTAAAATAAAAAAAAGAAAAACAACAGTGTTTATTCTTGCATAATTTCACTTGCACAAATACAGTCTTGTCTGTCTAACAATTTGCACAGACTGAAGTCTGATCTGCACCTTCCACCTCAGTGAATGCAGTCTGGGATGCGGCGTAAGTCCTCAAACAGGTGTATGCATCATTTTGAAGACTTTTGTTTCATTTGACACTGTCCATAAACAGAATTATTTAATCAAGTGCAGCAGAGGAAGTAACACATTCAGAGCAACCAAAGTACAGTTGAAATTGTCTTACGAGAAACAGTGGCATCCAATTTGTTGTTAGTTATTTGTTATACCAATTAGAAATGTTATATCTGTTAGAAATGCTTTCAAATAAGCCCATTTCACAGTATGGATGTGTTCCTGTAGGATAGTTAGCTGCAATGTAAATGAACAATACACGTGAATTACATCTTCTCCGAAAAAAGGAACCATTTCTCCTACCTGTCCAGCTCTTAAGACCTACATATGATAGTTATTTTCTAATGCCTTTGTAATTTTTAAGATCTTACAAATACTACATATAGTACAACACTTCCTTTCTTAAGAAGAAAAGGAAACTAATTGATACCATTCGTTTGGCAACAACAAGTGCACTAAAAAGTCACACCACCATCATGGGGTGGGGATTCCCCAGTTCTAAGTATTAACACTGAAAAAATACTACGGCTATCTTTTCTGAATGATGTATCAACACTGAATAAAAAGTACTCCATGAATAAGTCTGTAAAGGCTGTTGGAATCTAAACTATTTTGGCAAAGTGAGGACTGGAATAAGGTATTCTGCAAAAGCTGGGGGTTAGCCTGGTGAAAAGCTTTAAGCCTTTACGAATCGTCACCCAAATAGGAGTTGCTTCAACCCAACTCGGGCACTTCGCACTGCCAAAAGCAGTGCACTCTCACTCATCTTTCCATATGCTCCTCACAGAGTGACTTGCTCTTGACATACTGTGTGATCAGCATTCTGACTGGTGCCAGGAGAGCTCCATGATCCTGTGCCCAACCTTCTCCCTTACTCCTGACAAGTACAGGTTCCACCACCAGTCCCATCCCTGCGGAGTAGGCACCATAACAGGGAGGGATTTCACTTCTAGTCCATCACACGACGGACAATCCATCCCACACTTCCTAAGGGGAGAAGAGCCTGCTGCTCACCAAGCTCTGGTTTCGTCTCTGCCAGTTTTTCCCCTATTTTCCTGCAGCCCAGCCTTCCCCTGTCAGCTGTGCTCACCACAACAGGCAGGAGAGCCTGACAGAAGGGCTCTGAGGAAGCAAAACGCCTTGACTGACACGTCAGGTTGGGATCACAGATCCAGTGCTAAATCTGGGGTTAGCAACACTTTGCAGCTTTATAAGAAGTGCAAGGATTCACTTACAGTCGCAGCAAAACTTTTTTTCTGACAGCTATGCCATGCAACTAGGCTAGTTTAACATGTTCTTTATTCATTTAAGTTCCATCCTAAATATATCTGCCTATGTACAGAAAAATAATTTCCCAAGAATGACCTTTATTTTAAAATACGTAAGACAACAAACAAAACTGTGTGCCTATAAACGTTTTCGTTAGATTGACTCCGTATTTGACAACAACAAAGTAGCTATGCTCTTATCTTATATATACAAATAATCACATGTATATATATATATATATATATATATAGATACATCGATATGGATGTAGGACAGGAGTGTTTGGTCTGAACAAATGTGGGGTCCGTGTGGAATGTACGTACAGAGCAAACGGCTCGAAGTGAAGGTGAGTTCACCTGTTTCCCCACTGTTCTGCTTTTCAAGGGTTTTGATGCTCGATTGGAATAGTGAAGCAGCACAGTGCAAAAGGAGCAGTATGAAAGCAGACCCCGCTGTTGCGGTGAAAGTCTGGACTTGTCACATCTTCATCTGGAAAATGTATTTAATAATATTACAAAAACGTTGTTATCCACAATGTTCTTCCCCCCCAAACCCAACTCACATGTAACAAAAAGTGTTTTTTTCTGAAGGGTAAAAATATTCTAGAATGAACATTTAAAAATTTCCGTCATAAAAACTCATGTTGAGAAGATCTATAATAATTAGGTGCATCTAGAAAAAGTTCTGCAATGTATGGGTCATATTCCTTAGGGTCAGCCCAGTGACGTGCTCTGTCCCTTGAGGTGCCCACGTCAGACCATCAACTGCACACAGCCTCTCAGGACCTTACAGACCACCTCCCTGCAGCACTGATCTTGGGGAAATAGCATTTCCAAAGCTAAGATCAGCTTTATGGTTTTTATTTTACAGTGCTTCCAAATCATTATAACCTGCAGGTATATGACGTATGATTAGCCTGGTAAATACCATACTGGAGAATCTGGTGGCTATAACCCAATGACCATGCACTTTCAGAAAGACAGGGAAGGAAACAGATCTGCAAAGAACATGAACTCCTTTATCTTAACCTTGACTTGTTGTTTGACGATCTCTTCAGCAACTGCAATCTACCAGTCCTTATACAATTTGAATCAACTTTGTCATGTAGGCTCCTTGAACTCATCCCTGCATCTCCAGCATACCACATGAGCATCCAGCCAGCTTCTAGTATCCTTTGTTCTAGCTGAGACACAAAGGTAATTAACAGCAATGGATCAGAGCCTATGGGTCGGTAAGTGGAGTTCGCAGTGCAACCCTGCTGGGAAAGTGTGAGGTGCAGCCCTGGCAGAGGAGAGCTTAACATACCCCAGGCTTAGAACCACAATACCATTAAGGTTGGAAAAGACTTCCCAGATCCCCCAGTCCAACCACCAGCCCACCCCCGCACTCCCACTGCCCACGTCCCTCAGTGCCACATCCACACGGCTCCTGAACACCTCAGGGATGGTGACTGCACCACCTCCCTGGGCAGCCTGTGCCACTGCAGCACTGCTCTTGCTGAGAAGACATTTCTCCTAATACCCAACCTGAACCTCCCCTGGCACAACTTATCGTATCACTGTTAGCTGGAAGAAGAGGCCTTGCCAGTCCCACAACTCCACAACACATGAAGTCCTCGATGGACAAGGGAAATTACAAGGACTGATTGCAAGTTAGAAATCCAGGAGCTGAACCCCAGCCCTTCATCATCATCTCACACATGCATGACATTCATTGGCATTAACAGGAACTAAACGTTCCCATGCATTGAGGGCAGGTTGGAAATGACAAGCGATGGTGGTTGGGAAGGTGCTCAGTTGTGTTACCACATAAAAAGATGCAATCTGACGTATCGATGATGGGGTCACAGTCCCAGAGGAGCCCCCACAGCTACCTGGCAACCACTTCCAACAGCAATTGAATCTCAGAGGAAAACGCAGCAACTTGAGGCTTCTTCTGGAAACCTGGACTGGCTCTCTGCATCACATCCATAGTATTTTTTTCCTATTTGTCTACTTATTTTTTGCAGAAATTCGTGCTGTGGAAATGATGCCATAAAAAGATGATCCGATTTTCTAAACACTGAAAGGAATTCACTGTATGTCCAGCTAGTGAGTAAAATTAGGACAGCAATAAAAGGTTAGACATGACATTAAATGACATTTAATGTTACCCATTAATAGATTTTATCACTTTTTTTAATTCTACCACAACAACGTGTATTTTCATATACGTTATATTTAATAAAATGTATTGATATGGAATTAGGAAAACATGGGTTTAGTACTATTTACATATTTTAATCGAAACAATTTTCTTAACAACATTGAAAAATAGAAACTTAAAGTTCTCTTAATCATGTTTTCTGCCAGTTAGTGGTAACCAAATGCATGCCCAGGAAGTTGCACTCCCTCTAAAATGTGATCAGTTGAAAGTTTCTAACTAAAGTGTGTATCTCTGCTTTTCTGTTTCAAAAAATACATAAGTATGTCTGTCATTTCTGATACAAAATTCTACACTATCTTCAATAAATAAATAATAAAGCGATTCTGAAAAGTATGAAATGTAAACTTTGTCGTCCCTCCAACATACATTTTTTCCCATTGCTTGAAACATTACAGTGGTCTCGTAGGAAATTATAATACACAGACACTTCCCAGCACAGTTTACACTTATTACCATACTGTTTCTACCTATCCGTTATGAATATATCCTAATTTCCTAATGGAAATCAATAAGAATTGTAGTGCTAGAGAACACCATCTATACAGGGAAGGTGGAAACCAGTACTGAAAGGACATGCAAAGAACATCAAAACCTAACAACAGGCTCCACGAGAACATTCACATGCTAATGGAACAGGCTGACACCTCCCATTCAGAATTAAAGTCATTACAAAAATACCAGTGTATGCATGATAGGTAATGAACGAAATGGTTCCAGGCAGAACAAAGATGAATTTTACTCTTAGGGGTCTGTCACATCCGGTCTTAGCAAAGCACTCAGTCGTGTACTTAAGGGAAATGCAACCTATGTGTGCACTTAGGGACAGATGGTTTGCCAAAAGTGGGAAGTTTGCTGGACATTGGCCTGCATGTGTGCTATGTGTTGAGTTAAACACATATAACCTTTTGTGTTCCCCAAGATGAAAAAGACATTACCCTCGGGTTACCCACTCCATACAATCACAA